ATATATATATATACACATATATATATATATATATATATATACACATTTTTTTTCCGTTTTCGTCAAAAATACCTTAAAGTTTCTACCATCCCAGAACTGAGTGCGGCCTTCTATTTGGGATATGAAGGGGTACCAGTAAAGAAGCAGAGGGGTGGTAAACCATTATAAAACAACATCAAATAATGAAGCTGCTTTTCTTGAGTGACTGATAAACTGGCTCTAAGAGCAATTCCAAAAGCAAAGTTCTCCTACTTCCCTCAGCAGTGGTGCATCACTGAAATAACCCATCCCCTCCCAGGATGGCCACCTGGTCATGCAGCATTCATTTCACAAACAAGTTCCGTTATTTTAAAGTATTGTCGAAAAGCTTTGTTCGCATAGAAAAGAGAGACATTCTCTATGCCTACAGAGGCTTAAAACAGCCGAGCTTGCAGCAACGGCGGGAAAAGTGAGGGGAAGAAGGAAACTAATGTGTATTTAATGCCCACAATGTGCCAGCGTTAAGCGTCAGAACAATTTTAAGAGGTGGGTTCTTCTCCCCAATCTGTACGTGAGGAAACATGCTCAGAGAGGGAATAAGATGTGTGCAATCACACAGCTAGTCAGTGGTAGAGATGACTCTTGGGGCCCTGGACTCTTTGACCTCAAAGCCCATGGCATTTCTGCTTATAGAACATCACATGGCATAGACGATTAAGCTACCATGAACACAATATACAAGTGACATTTCCTGAAAGGAATAAGGACAATTAGTGAGGTACTGTGAAGGCAGTTGTGTGAGTTCTCCTTTAAGTTGGAATGATTCTAAGTATCTTCTTGCAGACAATTGGGATAGTTTTCCATCAAAAGGGAAAACTTAAGAAATGTTCAGTGAAATAGAGTGTGGTAGACAGATACCAGTACCTCATGGTGGTGCAGAATCGGAATAGGATCAGAGGCACTGTTGGCAGGGTGTGGGGAAGATAAGCCTACATTTCTAGAACACCTACCATGTGGTAGCACCTGTGTTTGGCATTTCACAAGCAGTAGGGATGGGGGAGAAGGACAAGAGCCTTCGAGTCAGAGAAACCTAACTTTGAAAACCCAGTGCTGACGCTTACAGTTTTCTGACCTTGGGCAAATTACTTAATTCTTCCGTCTCCATTTCTGTAACATGGGAATAATACTATTTATAGTGAAGGAGAAGTAAAGAGAATACCATGTTTAATAGCTTAGCAGAACACTTGGTGTGAACTAACGCTCACAAAAATTGTAACTGTGATTAGTCACTTTCACAAATGTTATCCAACTTAACTCTTATAATTACTCTACTGTAACGTATTGTGATCCAAGTTCTGTGGATGAGGAAACCTGGGTTATTGGAGTTTAAGAAACTTGACCAAGGTTGCAAAGTGATAAATGCTGGTACGAGTATTGGAAACCAGGTCATTCTCATAACAAAGCTTTGTCCTTAATACTATTCTCTGCTACCGGAAGGGGGCCTGCTGGAGTTGACCATGTTGAATAATGGTTTCCTCCAGGAAATTAAAAGAAATTAAAGGGAAAATGTTTTTAAGCTCTATTTTTTTCTAATCAAAATGAAAATTCCTTTATTGAGTTGCATGAAAAACAATTTAGATGACCATGTTTATTGAATTATTATTTATTTTTTAAAGTAATTTGATCATTGACTTTTTTCTTAATGTCAATAAGGAAATTGGTGTTGCCTCTTAGTAAGACGTTAATATTTTGGCATGTTAAGAAGTGACTAAATAAAGGATGTTGTTATATGAGGCCCATCCTGTGAAGCTGGGGACCACATGTAGCTCAGGGGTCATTTGAAGGGGACAGAGAGGGTATTGGGTAGTTGCACTTCACCACACACCATAAATAAACTAGAGCTACAAGGACAACTGTGTTCATCCAACAAATATTTACTTAGCACAGGTACACATGCTTCCCGCTCTCATGGAGCTAACAAGCAAACAAAGTAACTTCAGATTATGGTAACTGCTCTGAAGACAATAAAACTAGGTCAGATGGAGAGTGACTGGGTGGGTGACTGGGGAGAGATGACATTGATACTGACACCTAAATTACAAGAAGGAGCTAGCCATGCAGGTTAGGGGGGAGAGGAGTGTGGAGGGGACCATTCCAGGCAGAGGACATAGAAGGGCTCTGGGCAGGAGCAATCTTCCAGTGTTCCGGGCATATAAAGGAGCAGTGTGGCTGGAAGGTTGTAAACAAAGGTGCGTAACACAAGATAACACAAGGTAAAAACAGAGAGACAGGCAGGGGGCCGCATCAGGTCCAGCGTCTGCCGTAAGGCATTTGGAATTTATTCTAGGTGCAGTGGAAGTTGTTGTAGGGTTTAGGTTGAATTGGGACCTGGTGGTTTAAGATCGGCTGCTGCGTGGAGAAAGGAGTTTAGAGGAAGAAGACCGTTTAGGAGACTGCTGCCTGGAGAAGGGCTTCTTGAACTTGAATGTGAGTCCCTGACCCTCAGGGATTGTAAAACCCAGAGTTTCTGATTCTGTAGGTCTGAGGCAGGGCCTGAGATTTCACCTTTGGAATAAATTTTCAATAAAGCTGATGGACCATGCTTTGGGAACCGCTAGAAAAGAGCATTTCCCCAACATTTTTCTTGGGAAAGCGAGTTCCAAAATATGTTAATTGATAGTCTTTGTGGAAAAAAAAAACCCATGGCCAAATAAATTTGAGGAATACTTGAATTTTATGGCCATTCAGTATATGTTATCATCTTAAAGGTCCTGAGATGTTTTACAGTTAAGAATCCTTTGTAACCATGTTTAATTCCTCCGTTCCCGAGTGTCTAAGTAATGACCTTGAGGACCCACTGAAATGAGGTCTTTCTGGTGATCAGCTGACAATTCAGAAGGACTTTGCCAATAGCGAAAGTGACCAGGGCCATTATTTCTGCTGAGGAAAAAAAAGACCCCTGTACTACGTAAAGTTTATCTAATCTTGAAATTCTTAATGTCTTCAGTCTTTTTAATTTCTCGGATCAGTCTTGTTTCCATAATGTGCACTTTCAGAGTGTAAAAGTTTTGTATGACATAGTGATTTTTCTGTTCTTTTAACCAGAGAATCTTTTGTGTTCGTAGTATATCACGCTGAGTATCTTTATATAAAACATATAAGGGCAGATCTGCTCTAGGTGAAA